CTGACGAAAATCTAAGATCTCTGAAATTACTCCACCATAATCACGAAAATTTTCGTTTGTATGTTGATCGCCAGCTCACTGATGACCACTGGATGGATCGTCTAAAACTGTGCAGTGGGAAGTTAAGAGCACTGAGGTTCACCATATCATGGTGAAGTGCATACTCATCGAGTCACTGTCGAAAACTGAGCTGTATCAGGAGGTGACAAAGTTATTATTCACGGGTTAATAAATTTGAGTCCAAGGAGCTTGGCCTGGTAAACTGAAGATCTCGACTTCGATCCCTGGCTGTGGGATAATGGACGTGCACTGCACTGAACTGTCCAAAAAGCAAGGATAATACAGTTATCCAGTGCTCCCAGCCCACTGGTTTTCAATGAACTCTTCAGTTCATGTTGGTGGTTCGTGATGAATTTCTAACCACACTAAAATCAACTCAAACTCCTCACAAATCTTCAACTGTGAATAATCTACAGAAAACTTTAGCTGACTGACCAACCTGTAGGACTTCGGTATACCGAGGACAAACAAAATCATTCGAACAAGTGTAAATGAATCACATAATCAATAAGTGTATAGGAGAAATAGAGGAACGAACGGGGATCATACCCTTATGGGTCTAGACATAGGGTGCTTTCCTGTGTCCTCTTCATACGTATGTCACGGATATATTGTTATGGGCAAAGTTAAACAATATTCATCCATGGACTGAAAACACACGATTTACCTTGAGGCAATCAATCACAAAACCAGTGTCTTCTATACAAATATGACGTTAATATACAACAGAAATACAGAGAATCGTGACAAAACACATTAGACAGAACTTTATCGCTGATATGATTTGAAAATATCTCCAAGTTATAACGACGAGTATCAGATAATTTTAGTTAGACCAGATGCTGTACATATATTCATCAAGTTGACTGAAGATCATTTCTTATCCTGTTTTCCATTATTCTAAGAAAACTGTCGATTGAGATGGTATGAGTTCCAGTAAGCGAATCGATAACTTCAGATTTTGAATATGTCTGAATCTCCTTGACATTCACTTGTTGAATGAATTAAAGGAATCTTGAGTTCTGTTAGGGAAGGAATCTCAAGGCATCCCCTTCAGAACCAGTTTGAATTCATCGACTGCACTGAAAAATAAAGAGTAGATGACAAAAGTGTGATTTCACTCGATGTCAAATCACTTTTGACGAATGTCAAAATTAAGCAAACGATTTGTCTCCTATACAGATACTGGGAAGACAACAACTTGAATAATGGAATACCGACTCCTCAGCTAAAACACATTCCCATCAAATGCACTCTGGACGTCCAAATCACGTCCAGCGGTGTTATCTACAGAAGGCAAGATGTCGCAGCTATGTGATCAACATTATGTCGGATACTTTCATATATCTTCATAACAAGTTTAGGAAATCGTTCTAATGAAGGAGACGCTTTGTGGGAAACTGGGCAGGTCAGAATACAGAAAGCCGGAGCAGAACAGCCGGTTGAAAACCTCTACGATTGCATTCCCATGAGTTGCTAGTGACGAGGATTCAAATGATCTGCAGTTCTGAGTCGATATATGAAGAGATCGCTATTTCAACGAAGACACTGATTAAAAATCCACACCATCCAGGATTCATAGGCGAACACATAGCACCCAAAATCAACATAGAAAACCACACCACCGTCCTGAAGAAGGTCCTGCGCATGAATGTGGTGATCTTCTGGGGAACAGCTTAAGGAAGAGGGTATAAAATGTACTGAAGGGAACATTCTTTGTTTCTACATTAAGATTGGTACTCTCACTTTGCACACATACAGACAAACGTGCACACTGACGATTTGACATGAGTCATTACAATTATATGATGATTACTTCCATTTTTCTGTTGGTACAAATATCTATCGTCAAATAACCTTCAAAATAACTGACATCAGTGAGTGTAATTTTTATAAGGAAAAACACATTCGCTTTTGTTCAGCGAAGAAATATCTCTTCTCAGCGACTTCATTTTCAAGAAGCTGTAGATTTGTGTTTATATAATATGCAGAGGAGTATTGGGAGGCACTAGAACTTGCTCAGTGGTCAATATTGCACATATGATAAAAATTAAGATAATTAAAATGATGCACTTACTACTAAGGGGGTACAGTTGAAGTGGAAGAATTACAAAACTTTCGAGGATTGTTAAATAAGTGAGCTGGTATAAAAATTTTAACATTGGTCATAGTAATGTTCTTTCATTTGATTCTACCTAACCACTTGAATCCACCCTCGCCGACTTTATTGTTATCATCGTCGTATTCTCAATCTTTTCAGAAAACAACTGACCTTCAATGTTTCTAAACTCATTAATTCTACTTCATTTCTAGGTGAAAGTGTAGCGCACAGTCTACGTTCATTCTCTCTGATCTTCACCTGTCTACTGCTCTAGCCTACATAACAGGCCTCACGTCTCATTAGTGACTGATTACATTTTTCAATAACAAAATTTGTTAAGATTATCTAATAGGTGAACTCGCATAAAGATTTTAATAATGTAGGTCAGGTGTTGTCTGGAAAATTCAGAATACGATGGTGATAACAATAAAGTCAGCGAATATGAATTGAAATGAAGTGAATTGAAGTGATAAAGTAGAGTAAAATAAAAAATTAGAACATCACTAATACCAATTTTTAAATCATTCTACTCTCAGAAAACAGATCTTGTTTTGATTTTCTCCTAAACACGCTGGTGTTATTTTAAACAAGAATTTACAATGAATCGATGTGACTCGGCGCTCAAATTATTTCAGGGAATTCTCAACATCTCCAGTCTGAATTATAACTCATAAAGACAGTAAAATCTTGAGTAGAAAACATTCCTCACTCTGTGACTTGTGAGGCTACAATTAGTCACTCCCCACAACTTGATAAATCTGATGACTATTGACAATGAATTATTGAAAATAAAATACACGAGAAGAGAATAGATTATGGAACTAATTGTTCGACTGTCACATCAATACTGTCTCTGATTGATAAGTTTTCGGATTGGAAAGCCACCAACGAAAATCTACTTCTCCATTGTACTTGGAATAGTATTTTCCCTACAAGAAACTATTCAGTCAGCATGTGAAAGGCAAGCGAACTCATTGGCTCACATCTCAGTATACTTGAGTAATAGCTGATTGACTTGACAGTACACTGTGAGGTGGGGAAGATGCCTCACCACCAACAACAACAGCGACAACAACAACAACAGCAAAGCATCAGTCGTCGTCAACGGGAGAAATGTGAAATAATTGACCTGTTCCACTTAGCTAGGTAGCGTCTTTCCCTAATACTGCCTGCACAGATGAGGATGTTAGATGTAGGATTGGAAAAGCAAGATAGACCAGCCATCTTCCACGACTCTGAAATCAGTTTGCATGTCTGCTGCACACAGTATAAGAAACAACATCCAAATCGTCAATGCTAATGTCAAGTTACTCAGTTCTTCTGTAAGATCCAGAGACCTGACGCGTGACGAAAGCATTTCCGGCTTGATACTGCAAGCTGTCATCAGAAACCGCCCTAGCTGGCTTCATACTGAAGATCAGATGGCTGGCCACGGAGGATAAGCAAACAACGGAGAATAGCTTCAACGAACCAACCAATCACCTATTGCCTAACGAATAAACAGCAGAAAATAGAAATGGATCGGACATACACTGTGGAGATCGTCGATTGACACCGGCCGATAGGCCTCCTAATGTGGAACAATTAATTAGGCCTGAATTCGAGTTCAACGTGGATGGAATTATGTGAGGAGGAGATGAATAGTGAATCTAGATAGGTGAAAATGACTACAGAGAATTGGGGTGGTACAGTAATGTGAATCTGGAGCCATCCGTGTATTCCACTCAGAACCTAGAGAAAAGTACTAATTGAGTACGCGAATGAAAAACTATCAGAAGAGCCGAAGTTTGCCTTCGATTCGATAAGACAACACCCTCTGAATTAGTGATAGTCAGTTCCGTCTGAGAAATCCTTCAAAACCGTATACAAGATGAGATCAAACTTTCCAAAGAAATTAGAATTAAGACGTCGTGTCATAGTAACACAAAATTTCAAACCAGCTCTGTGTATTCCTGAGCAATGTGTTTAGTCTTTCACTTTGTCATGACCATCAAAACTAGTCGAATTTAAACTGTCTATTATTATCATTCATATTACTACAGTCTAATAACGTTTATTCATCGGATTTCATGTTAACTTGCTTATCTTGCTCTCTTTTTCTATTACTTAGCTCTATTTTATCATTTACTATACTTTGATGGCATCCTGGAGATAATTCTGAACACCATAAATACCCATTGATTGGGCTTGCAGCTATTGGTTTTATTTGTGATCTTGTTGCAATTGAGCTGGTACAGGTTGGTTTTGATATTGCAATAAGTTACTTCCTCAAGTGTATTTGTAGGTTTTCTGGTTATGATTCCTCTTATTATATATCCCCTGTTCAAACGATTCACATATTGGCCACAACTTTTTCTTGGTAAGAATCATGGGATTATTTTCTGACCTCTGTGTGGCGTGGTGTTGTATGTTTAACGTTGAACTGAGGTGTTTGACTTGACTATTCCGCAATAAATGGGTTTTGTTTTTTTCTCCGTGTGCTCTCTTTATACTCGGCTGCAGTGTGTTCAACTCCCGCCTACGGCACTATATATTCTCATCAAGTGAGGATAATTTGTCAGCTGTGTGTTTTGCCACTATCGCTCAGGGATTTTTAAAATTCCTTCTCGAGAGTTAATTGGCTCGCTTGACTGTAATCGACTGGTGGATATTTGTTTTATGTGCTAGCCTATCATTGCCTAGAAAACCCGTAGCACCTTTACACTTCGGTTTTAAAGTTAAAGACTGCATTTATTTGTTCTGTATAGGTTTTTCAGTCAACTGGGGTGCTATGCTGGCCTATGCTGCCATTGTGGGTTATATTAACCCTTCTATCACATTTCCTCTGTATCTGGCTGGCGTCAATTGGACAATGATTTACGACACAATATACGCACATCAGGTTTGTGCAAGTAGTTCATTGGTAAAGTTCTTCTTCCTTCTAGGATGTTAATGATGACATCCTTATAGGTGTCAAATCAACCGCCGTTCTATTTGGAGAGAAAACTAAATCATATTTGGCCATTTTTCACACGGGAATGACAGTGTGTTTTCTCATTGCTGGGATTAATGCTCAGGCTGGTTGGATTTATTACCTCGGGACGTTATGCACTATGTTGCATATAGCCAATATGGTGAGTTGGTGCGTGATATCTACTAAGATGTATATATATATCTTCTTTCATGGCCTCTTGAAATGTCTTTGTCTTGTTGACTAGCATATCTAATTAGGATATTTCTATTTTCCTTCTCATGCATTCGTCATTTTATTTATTTTTAGATACGAGAAGTAGACTTGAAGAATCCTGCTTCTTGTTCACAGACGTTTGAAACCACTAGAACATCTGGTCTCTTGTTCTTTCTTACTATTGTACTTGATAACATGTACACCTAATATTATCCCATAAATGTATCACGATTAATTCGAAATAAATATTTCTTTCTATAGGCAACTAAATGAATTGAACTTGTCTTATTTTCTAAGTCTTCGTAAATGTGTATGAATATAGGTGCAGTTTAGTTGAGTTTGGTTAAGTTTGGTTAGATGTAAGGAAGGTAGGGTGGTGGAACAGAGGGCAAATATGTGTCGATGGTTTAGTGATAGAACACTCACTCTCCGACCACAGTCCGGGTTTCGATTTCCGGCTGACGATCTACGAGACCTCATTTACCCGGTAGTAAAATCGATGGGTGCGTCAGTTCCACAGATATTAGGACGTACTCCGACTATGCACATGGTCCGGGGTTCGCTTCCCGGACGACGCACTCCTTCACCTCGTTAAGCCAGAAATATTGCTGATAAAGTTGAAATGTTTGGCAGTAAGCTAGCAACTGCATCCTGTAAAAATAAACACTGCTACAGAAACTGCAAGCCACTTGCTTGAAACCCTATGTTCCTCTTGGAACGTGAAGGAAAAATTATTATTATTAATTAAAAAAGTCGATGGAGAAAGGAAGTTTGTATGTGTGGCTGAAAATAAACGCTACGGCTGCTGAAACTTGAAAGCTGAAGCTTGAGGCCGCACGTTTCATTCGAGACGCAAAGGAATAGAAAAGGAAATACAGGGTGGTATCAGCTACTCTGTATGACCGGAAATAAACAGTGTTTACCAGATATATCACACAGCGAAACAGTATTATTCACTGGATGACATGGTTTCGAACACAATTTATTATTGTTCATAATCACATCAATTGTGTGTATTGAGAAAGAGTAGTAACGAGAAAATTTAGCGGACTTAGGAGATGACAATGTGTGAATGCATCAGCGTTATTTGGAACGGTTTTGATTCATATCACCAATAGTGTTCACTCATTGGTTCTTAGCATCCTGAAGAACCCAATGAGGCAGTCTACACATCTTCACATGGCTCACACCATCAATCGAAGGACTCACTGGACTGATGACACATTTTATTTCGGCTACTGCTAACTATTTTCCAACCTAATCTGATGTCAGCTGACAAGGGTCTTCGAGGAAGATGGTGTATCTGCATGGACAGTTCGTGGCCTAGCCATCTCAGTAGAATTATCTCCCCAACTGCATTGATTCACTTACTCTCCTCACCGATTGCATCACGCCTCACCTCAGTATCACTCACCCTGTTTCACCACTCAACAGCGGTGAAGACTTTCTGAAACTGTGGCGAAGAGGGAGCCTGTTACATGGGAATGTGCTTTCGTCCTTCCTGTGTTGAAGAATACCCAAGATATTTGAAGCAGTATCAAGTAGTATAAACTTGGTAATAACACAGTGTAACGTTGAATCTGCTTCGAGAAAGTATTGACAATTAGGGAGGATGAAGTAGACAAATGTCTAGTGAGATTTATTCTGACTGAGATGATTATTTGGGTGATTGATGAGGATATCCGAACAATTCTGGGTTAGTTTACAATCTGCATATTTTCGAAATCCGTGGAAGACATGTCTAGAAGTAAGTAGTTTTAGTAACTGACTGTCAACACTGGGTGGAGACGTATCCTGGATTGACTCAGACAAGTTCTCATGGACAAATTATATCCTCGAATATTTGTCGATAAGAACATGAAAGTAAAGCGAGAGCCAAGAAGGTCCCAGAAGTTGACGAAGAACGCGCTGTTTATGGATGTTGAATCTATGGCTTATTCCGCATCTAAGCTTCTGAAGAGCCGCTTATCCAGATCGCTTCGGAGAGGCTTCTTTTCGGCTTAGCTACGGATCAGTTTCTACAGGGGACTAATGATCGATGTACGTGTGAAGGATGAAGTGCAGCTTTGGGTCACATGAGTATGTGTTAATAGATTCAGTTGTTCCTGTGAAGTTAGTTATATTGGCCAAACAACGCGGACAATTCCTAAATTAATCCATGAACACCCCCCCCAGTATGTCTAGCAGCAGGACAACTGCTGGCTCATTTTGCGATCACTTGATTAACTCAGGCTGCACAATTCTACCGGAGTCGTCCTCCAAGATTTTCTACAGGATGAAACCAAATGGTAGATATTACTTTAGTTTTAGGCACTTGTTTATGGCGTAGGCGCTCTTAACTCGTCAATGCACCGCCAAACTATGTATAAAGAAATCGTTTGTCCAGTCTCTCATTCTACCGTCGTCTTAACCTCTTCACCAGTAGATCCCTGTAAATTTTGTTTCATCGGTAATGGATACTTTGCTTTCACATTAATAACTAATTCACTGTTATCACTCCCACACATTCGTTTTTTACATTTTCTCAGCCTTTTCACGCTTGTCAAATAGACACTCAAGAAATTTTCTGCTCACTTATCAACAATATTAACCCTATCAATTTTCTATCCCTTTCTTCTTTTGTGCCGTCCAGTATTAAGTTACTTAACTGACTTTTGTATTTTTAATCCCATTATGGGTAAAATTTTTGTTTTGATAAAGTCTCACAGTTATATACCGTGCACAATCCTTTTTAAAGTTATTTTATGTTAATTAATTAATTGTCTCTGTTTCAATGATCCTATCTTGTAGTTTGTAACACTTTCATGTATGTCACATCATCGTTTCATCGCTTGTCTATGAAGTCACTCACTCGGTTACGAAATTTTAGCGGATATATATAACATTAAAATAAAGGATTTTGTATTTCCCAATGAATGAAAAGGCGTCGGCGATTGGCAACACCAGACAACTGTTTAGCCTTATCAGGGAAACAGTGGATAGAAAGTAAATGATAAGTGAAACAATCTCTGAGAAAAATGGCACCATAATTAGCTCTCACGACAGACGACTGGAACGCTGGAAAGAGCACTATGAGGACCATATCAGTAAACATTACTGTATATCATTGTGAGACTTTATCAAAACAAAAATTTACCCATAATAGAATTATACTCTACCACAGGGTACAAGTTTTATTTTGTGTTTTTTACTTTTGAAGCCACTTCTGAGTATTTATTTAAAACCCTGATGCACAATTATTGACCCCTACTGGTTTTCGGTAAATATAATCATGACTGTACTGTACCGGCCCTGAAGAGGATTTTGTCGATCAAGAAAGTTTTCTTCACTGAAATGTCTTTTATTTTTTACATGACTCAATCAATGGGTATTTATGGTGTTCAGAATTATCTCCAGGATGCCATCAAAGTATAGTAAATGATAAAATAGAGCTAAGTAATAGAAAAAGAGAGCAAGATAAGCAAGTTAACATGAAATCCGATGAATAAACGTTATTAGACTGTAGTAATATGAATGATAATAATAGACAGTTTAAATTCGACTAGTTTTGATGGTCATGACAAAGTGAAAGACTAAACACATTGCTCAGGAATACACAGAGCTGGTTTGAAATTTTGTGTTACTATGACACGACGTCTTAATTCTAATTTCTTTGGAAAGTTTGATCTCATCTTGTATACGGTTTTGAAGGATTTCTCAGACGGAACTGACTATCACTAATTCAGAGGGTGTTGTCTTATCGAATCGAAGGCAAACTTCGGCTCTTCTGATAGTTTTTCATTCGCGTACTCAATTAGTACTTTTCTCTAGGTTCTGAGTGGAATACACGGATGGCTCCAGATTCACATTACTGTACCACCCCAATTCTCTGTAGTCATTTTCACCTATCTAGATTCACTATTCATCTCCTCCTCACATAATTCCATCCACGTTGAACTCGAATTCAGGCCTAATTAATTGTTCCACATTAGGAGGCCTATCGGCCGGTGTCAATCGACGATCTCCACAGTGTATGTCCGATCCATTTCTATTTTCTGCTGTTTATTCGTTAGGCAATAGGTGATTGGTTGGTTCGTTGAAGCTATTCTCCGTTGTTTGCTTATCCTCCGTGGCCAGCCATCTGATCTTCAGTATGAAGCCAGCTAGGGCGGTTTCTGATGACAGCTTGCAGTATCAAGCCGGAAATGCTTTCGTCACGCGTCAGGTCTCTGGATCTTACAGAAGAACTGAGTAACTTGACATTAGCATTGACGATTTGGATGTTGTTTCTTATACTGTGTGCAGCAGACATGCAAACTGATTTCAGAGTCGTGGAAGATGGCTGGTCTATCTTGCTTTTCCAATCCTACATCTAACATCCTCATCTGTGCAGGCAGTATTAGGGAAAGACGCTACCTAGCTAAGTGGAACAGGTCAATTATTTCACATTTCTCCCGTTGACAACGACTGATGCTTTGCTGTTGTTGTTGTTGTCGCTGTTGTTGGTGGTGGTGAGGCATCTTCCCCACCTCACAGTGTACTGTCAAGTCAATCAGCTATTACTCAAGTATACTGAGATGTGAGCCAATGAGTTCGCTTGCCTTTCACATGCTGACTGAATAGTTTCTTGTAGGGAAAATACTATTCCAAGTACAATGGAGAAGTAGATTTTCGTTGGTGGCTTTCCAATCCGAAAACTTATCAATCAGAGACAGTATTGATGTGACAGTCGAACAATTAGTTCCATAATCTATTCTCTTCTCGTGTATTTTATTTTCAATAATTCATTGTCAATAGTCATCAGATTTATCAAGTTGTGGGGAGTGACTAATTGTAGCCTCACAAGTCACAGAGTGAGGAATGTTTTCTACTCAAGATTTTACTGTCTTTATGAGTTATAATTCAGACTGGAGATGTTGAGAATTCCCTGAAATAATTTGAGCGCCGAGTCATATCGATTCATTGTAAATTCTTGTTTAAAATAACACCAGCGTGTTTAGGAGAAAATCAAAACAAGATCTGTTTTCTGAGAGTAGAATGATTTAAAAATTGGTATTAGTGATGTTCTAATTTTTTATTTTACTCTACTTTACCACTTCAATTCACTTCATTTCAATTCATATTCGCTGACTTTATTGTTATCACCATCGTATTCTGAATTTTCCAGACAACACCTGACCTACATTATTAAAATCTTTATGCGAGTTCACTTATTAGATAATCTTAACAAATTTTGTTATTGAAAAATGTAATCAGTCACTAATGAGACGTGAGGCCTGTTATGTAGGCTAGAGAAGTAGACAGGTGAAGATCAGAGAGAATGAACGTAGACTGTGCGCTACACTTTCACCTAGAAATGAAGTAGAATTAATGAGTTTAGAAACATTGAAGGTCAGTTGTTTTCTGAAAAGATTGAGAATACGACGATGATAACAATAAAGTCGGCGAGGGTGGATTCAAGTGGTTAGGTAGAATCAAATGAAAGAACATTACTATGACCAATGTTAAAATTTTTATACCAGCTCACTTATTTAACAATCCTCGAAAGTTTTGTAATTCTTCCACTTCAACTGTACCCCCTTAGTAGTAAGTGCATCATTTTAATTATCTTAATTTTTATCATATGTGCAATATTGACCACTGAGCAAGTTCTAGTGCCTCCCAATACTCCTCTGCATATTATATAAACACAAATCTACAGCTTCTTGAAAATGAAGTCGCTGAGAAGAGATATTTCTTCGCTGAACAAAAGCGAATGTGTTTTTCCTTATAAAAATTACACTCACTGATGTCAGTTATTTTGAAGGTTATTTGACGATAGATATTTGTACCAACAGAAAAATGGAAGTAATCATCATATAATTGTAATGACTCATGTCAAATCGTCAGTGTGCACGTTTGTCTGTATGTGTGCAACATGAGAATATCAATCTTGATGTACAAACAACCAATGTTCACTTCAAAGCATTTGATATCCTCTTCCTTAAGCTGTTCCCCAGAAGATCACCACATTCATGCGCAGGACCTTATTCAGGACGGTGGTGTGGTTTTGCATGTTGATTTTGGGTGCTATGTGTTCGCCTATGAATCCTGGATGGTGTGGATTTTTAATCAGTGTCTTCGTTGAAATAGCGATCTCTTCATATATCGACTCAGAACTGCAGATCATTTGAATCCTCGTCACTAGCAACTCATGGGAATGCAATCGTAGAGGTTTGTCAACCGGCTGTTCTGCTCCGGCTTTCTGTATTCTGACCTGCCCAGTTTCCCACAAAGCGTCTCCTTCATTAGAACGATTTCCTAAACTTGTTATAAAGATATATGCAAGTATCCGACATAATGTTGATCACATAGCTGCGACATCTTGCCTTCTGTAGATTACACCGCTGGACGTGATTTGGACGTCCAGAGTGCATTTGATTGGAATCTGTTTTAGCTGTGGAGTCTGTATTCCAATATTCAAGTTGTTGTCTTCCCAGTATCTGTATAGGAGACAAATCGTTTGCTTAATTTTGACATTCGTCAAAAGTGATTTGACATCGAGTGAAATCACACTTTTGTCATCTACTCTTTATTTTTCAGTGCAGTCGATGAATTCAAACTGGTTCTGAAGGGGATGCCTTGAGATTCCTTCCCTAACAGAACTCAAGATTCCTTTAATTCATTCAACAAGTGAATGTCAAGGAGATTCAGACATATTCAAAATCTGAAGTTATCGATTCGCTTACTGGAACTCATACCATCTCAATCGACAGTTTTCTTAGAATAATGGAAAACAGGATAAGAAATGATCTTCAGTCAACTTGATGAATATATGTACAGAATCTGGTCTATCTTAAATTATCTGATACTCGTCGTTATAACTGGGAGATATTTTCAGGTCATATCAGGGAAAAATTTCTGTCTAATGAGTTTTGTCACTATTCTCAGTATTTCTGTTGTTGATTAACTTCATATTTGTGTAAAAGACACTGGTTTTGTGATTGATTGTTTCAAGTTTAGTCATTTGTTAGCAATCTGTGGATGAATATTGTTTAACTTTGCCCATAACAATATATACGCTGGCATACGTATGAAGAGGACACAGGAAAGCACCCTATGTCTATGTTTGAATTAATTTCACTGTGGTTAGATATTCATCACGAACCACCAACATGAACTGAAGAGTTCATTGAAAACCAGTGGGCTGGGAGCACTGGATAACTGTATTATCCTTGCTTTTTGGACAGTTCATTGCAGTGCACGTCCATTATCCCACAGCCAGGGATCGAAGTCGAGATCTTCAGTTTACCAGGCCAAGCTCCTTGAACTCAAATTTAGTAACCCGTGAATAATAACTTTGTCACCTTCTGATACAGCTCAGTTTTCGACAGTGACTCGATGAGTATGCACTTCACCATGATATGGTGAACCTCAGTGCTCTTAACTTCCCACTGCACAGTTTTTGGCGGTCCTTCCAGTGGTCATCAGTGAGCTGGCGATCAACATACAAACGAAAGGGTTCGTGAATATAATGAACTAATTTCAGAGATCTTAGATTTTCGTCAGGGATCATTCACAATCAGGAGGGCATTGGTCAGAGGACGTGCTATATGACGAGCGTATTGACAAGGTTAGATTTCATTGGTGACTGAATTGGGACACAAGTGGTTGAATGATCTCCAACGGGTTTGGTGTTGTAACCAGAAGACTTCTGGTTGTCGCGTTGTGGATGTGAACTGCTGAAGATTCCAAAAACGTAGGATAGAAGAGCTCTCCAGTGCTCGTGGCTGGCTACTTCCCAATGAACTCTCCAACTGATGTTGGTCGGTGCATGACGAAAATCTCGCTGAGCTTATAGACGTCAGGTATTATTGCAATGCAACCAGTTGGCTTCACGATTTATCAAGTGATTCTGACTGGACACACAGAGTTGTGGTAAGAGTGTTGGATGGGGTTAGAATTCCTCAAGAGTGATCCCAAACTGAAATCAGTTAGAATATGTTCCACAGTTTGGAGGAAATGAACAATTGCTACCTGCTTGTTTGCTAGCCTTACTCTGTAAGCATCTATGATCTGAGGACCTTCAGGTTAAAAGGCGATTTCGTAGAGCATCGAGCCACTGAGATGGAATTCACTGTCGCGTCGATTCTAACTTCTGCCATTTCGCGTAATACACTCGACTCGTCATCCAATGTCGTTGGAGAGTATTTCTGCTCACACCCAACTTGATGAACTGAGATTGTAAAGACTTCTCACTACTACTACTACTACTACTACTACTACTACTACTACTACTACTACTACTACTACTACTACTACTACTACTACTACTACTACTACTACTACTACTACTACTACTACTACTACTACTACTACTACTACTACTACTACTACTACTACTACTACTACTACTACTACTACTACTACTACTACTACTACTACTACTACTACTACTACTACTACTACTACTACTACTACTACTATTACTACTACTACTACTACTACTACTACTACTACTACTACTACTACTACTACTACTACTACTACTACTACTACTACTACTACTACTACTACTACTACTACTATTACTACTACTACTACTACTACTACTACTACTACTACTACTACTACTACTACTACTACTACTACTACTACTACTACTACTATTACTACTATTACTACTATTAGTACTATTACTACTATTACTACTACTACTACTACTACTGTAACAACAGAAGACAAGGGCCAGGCAACAGATCTTTTTATTATGAAAATCAACACGTATCTATACATCTCAACTACATTATTATAGACAAGCGCAGTCATCTGATTGGTTGTTTAGGTAGACAAACGCAGGCTTCTGATTGGTTGTTTCGGGATTCCTTGACAAATAGAGTTCACTCTGCGAATCATATTCTGCCACGTTAACTTTGCTGTGATTGGTTGTTGACTCAGGCTTGTTCATATTTTCTCACGGCCCATATTAGTGACCTAGACCTTAACGTAGATTAGTGCCAACCAATCGGCTAGCAGCCTGCTCTCACCACACTACTACTACTACTACTACTACTACTACTACTACTACTACTACTACTACTACTACTACTACTACTACTACTACTACTACTACTACTATTACTACTACTACTACTACTGTAACAACAGAAGACAAGGGCCAGGCAACAGATCGTTTTATTATGAAAATCAACACGTATTTATACATCTCAACTACATTATTATAGACAAGCGCAGTCATCTGATTGGTTGTTTAGGTAGACAAACGCAGGCTTCTGATTGGTTGTTTCGGGATTCCTTGACAAACAGAGTTCACTCTGCGAATCATATTCTGCCACGTTAACTTTGCTGTGATTGGTTGTTGACTCAGGCTTGTTCATATTTTCTCACGGCCCATATTAGTGACCTAGACCTTAACGTAGATTAGTGCCAACCAATCGGCTAGCAGCCTGCTCTCACCACACTACTACTACTACTACTACTACTACTACTACTACTACTACTACTACTACTACTACTACTACTATTACTACTACTACTACTACTGTAACAACAGAAGACAAGGGCCAGGCAACAGATCGTTTTATTATGAAAATCAACACGTATTTATACATCTTTCAACTACATTATTATAGACAAGCGCAGTCATCTGATTGGTTGTTTAGGTAGACAAACGCAGGCTTCTGATTGGTTGTTTCGGGATTCCTTGACAAATAGAGTTCTCTCTGCGAATCATATTCTGCCACGTTAACTTTGCTGTGATTGGTTGTTGACTCAGGCTTGTTCATATTTTCTCACGGCCCATATTAGTGACCTAGACCTTAACGTAGATTAGTGCCAACCAATCGGCTAGCAGCCTGCTCTCACCACACTCGTCTCCCCGTCAAATACGTGCGACTGAAGTCGGCTTGATCTACTTGGTGCAGGCGTCATCGTTGGCTTGTCTCGCTGTATCCATTTCTGGAGCTCGCTGACGTTCACGCGCCTCTTATTGTTCGCCATTGCGACTGTGTCTGCGTAACCCCATCTCGAAGTGACCATATATGGTCCTTCCCACTTTGGAAACTGTTTGCCTGACCCTGTCGAACATTCGTCCATACTTCGGCTCACACTTTCATATGCTGCTTTCACCCGACCTCCCAGCAGCGTCCCAAGTAGCAGCTCCATTGCTGACAGATCTTGAACGCCACTCAACTGCGCAGAAGCCTTGAAGTCCTGCCCGAAGATCCATATGCCTCCATCGAAAACAGCAGGGCATAGGCTTTCCATTTGTCGGTAGGCAGCGACACCAAATGTAACAACAGAAGACAAGGGCCAGGCAACAGATCGTTTTATTATGAAAATCAACACGTATTTATACATCTTTCAACTACATTATTATAGACAAGCGCAGTCATCTGATTGGTTGTTTAGGTAGACAAACGCAGGCTTCTGATTGGTTGTTTCGGGATTCCTTGACAAACAGAGTTCTCTCTGCGAATCATATTCTGCCACGTTAACATTGCTGTGATTGGTTGTTGACTCAGGCTTGTTCATATTTTCTCACGGCCCATATTAGTGACCTAGACCTTAACGTAGATTAGTGCCAACCAATCGGCTAGCAGCCTGCTCTCACCACACTACTACTACTACTACTACTACTACTACTACTACTACTACTACTACTACTACTACTACTACTACTATTACTACTACTACTACTACTACTGTAACAACAGAAGACAAGGGCCAGGCAACAGATCGTTTTATTATGAAAATCAACACGTATTTATACATCTCAACTACATTATTATAGACAAGCGCAGTCATCTGATTGGTTGTTTAGGTAGACAAACGCAGGCTTCTGATTGGTTGTTTCGGGATTCCTTGACAAACAGAGTTCACTCTGCGAATCATATTCTGCCACGTTAACTTTGCTGTGATTGGTTGTTGACTCAGGCTTGTTCATATTTTCTCACGGCCCATATTAGTGACCTAGACCTTAACGTAGATTAGTGCCAACCAATCGGCTAGCAGCCTGCTCTCACCACACTACTACTACTACTACTACTACTACTACTACTACTACTACTACTACTACTATTACTACTACTACTACTACTGTAACAACAGAAGACAAGGGCCAGGCAACAGATCGTTTTATTATGAAAATCAACACGTATTTATACATCTCAACTACATTATTATAGACAAGCGCAGTCATCTGATTGGTTGTTTAGGTAGACAAACGCGGGCTTCTGATTGGTTGTTTCGGGATTCCTTGACAAACAGAGTTCACTCTGCGAATCATATTCTGCCACGTTAACTTTGCTGTGATTGGTTGTTGACTCAGGCTTGTTCATATTTTCTCACGGCCCATATTAGTGACCTAGACCTTAACGTAGATTAGTGCCAACCAATCGGCTAGCAGCCTGCTCTCACCACACTACTACTACTACTACTACTACTACTACTACTACTACTACTACTACTACTACTACTACTATTACTACTACTACTACTACTGTAACAACAGAAGACAAGGGCCAGGCAACAGATCGTTTTATTATGAAAATCAACACGTATTTATACATCTTTCAACTACATTATTATAGACAAGCGCAGTCATCTGATTGGTTGTTTAGGTAGACAAACGCAGGCTTCTGATTGGTTGTTTCGGGATTCCTTGACAAATAGAGTTCACTCTGCGAATCATATTCTGCCACGTTAACTTTGCTGTGATTGGTTGTTGACTCAGGCTTGTTCATATTTTCTCACGGCCCATATTAGTGACCTAGACCTTAACGTAGATTAGTGCCAACCAATCGGCTAGCAGCCTGCTCTCACCACACTCGTCCCCCGTCAAATACGTGCGACTGAAGTCGGCTTGATCTACTTGGTGCAGGCGTCATCGTTGGCTTGTCTCGCTGTATCCATTTCTGGAGCTCGCTGACGTTCACGCGCCTCTTATTGTTCGCCATTGCGACTGTGTCTGCGTAACCCCATCTCGAAGTGACCATATATGGTCCTTCCCACTTTGGAAACTGTTTGCCTGACCCTGTCGAACATTCGTCCATACTTCGGCTCACACTTTCATATGCTGCTTTCACCCGACCTCCCAGCAGCGTCCCAAGTAGCAGCTCCATTGCTGACAGATCTTGAACGCCACTCAACTGCGCAGAAGCCTTGAAGTCCTGCCCGAAGATCCATATGCCTCCATCGAAAACAGCAGGGCATAGGCTTTCCATTTGTCGGTAGGCAGCGACACCAAATGTAACAACAGAAGACAAGGGCCAGGCAACAGATCGTTTTATTATGAAAATCAACACGTATTTATACATCTTTCAACTACATTATTATAGACAAGCGCAGTCATCTGATTGGTTGTTTAGGTAGACAAACGCAGGCTTCTGATTGGTTGTTTCGGGATTCCTTGACAAACAGAGTTCTCTCTGCGAATCATATTCTGCCACGTTAACATTGCTGTGATTGGTTGTTGACTCAGGCTTGTTCATATTTTCTCACGGCCCATATTAGTGACCTAGACCTTAACGTAGATTAGTGCCAACAAATCGGCTAGCAGCCTGCTCTCACCACACTACTACTACTACTACTACTACTACTACTACTACTACTACTACTACTACTACTACTACTACTACTACTACTACTACTACTATTACTACTACTACTACTACTGTAACAACAGAAGACAAGGGCCAGGCAACAGATCGTTTTATTATGAAAATCAACACGTATTTATACATCTCAACTACATTATTATAGACAAGCGCAGTCATCTGATTGGTTGTTTAGGTAGACAAACGCAGGCTTCTGATTGGTTGTTTCGGGATTCCTTGACAAACAGAGTTCTCTCTGCGAATCATATTCTGCCACGTTAACTTTGCTGTGATTGGTTGTTGACTCAGGCTTGTTCATATTTTCTCACGGCCCATATTAGTGACCTAGACCTTAACGTAGATTAGTGCCAACCAATCGGCTAGCAGCCTGCTCTCACCACACTACTACTACTACTACTACTACTACTACTACTACTACTACTACTACTACTACTACTACTACTACTACTACTACTACTACTACTACTACTAATACTACTACTACTACTACTACTACTACTACTACTACTACTACTACTACTACTACTACTACTACTACTACTACTACTACTACTATTACTACTACTACTACTACTGTAACAACAGAAGACAAGGGCCAGGCAACAGATCGTTTTATTATGAAAATCAACACGTATCTATACATCTCAACTACATTATTATAGACAAGCGCAGTCATCTGATTGGTTGTTTAGGTAGACAAACGCAGGCTTCTGATTGGTTGTTTCGGGATTCCTTGACAAACAGAGTTCTCTCTGCGAATCATATTCTGCCACGTTAACTTTGCTGTGATTGGTTGTTGACTCAGGCTTGTTCATATTTTCTCACGGCCCATATTAGTGACCTAGACCTTAACGTAGATTAGTGCCAACAAATCGGCTAGCAGCCTGCTCTCACCACACTACTACTACTACTACTACTACTACTACTACTACTACTACTACTACTACTACTACTACTACTACTACTACTACTACTACTACTACTACTACTACTACTACTACTACTACTACTACTACTACTACTACTACTATTACTACTACTACTACTACTACTGTAACAACAGAAGACAAGGGCCAGGCAACAGATCGTTTTATTATGAAAATCAACACGTATTTATACATCTCAACTACATTATTATAGACAAGCGCAGTCATCTGATTGGTTGTTTAGGTAGACAAACGCAGGCTTCTGATTGGTTGTTTCGGGATTCCTTGACAAACAGAGTTCACTCTGCGAATCATATTCTGCCACGTTAACTTTGCTGTGATTGGTTGTTGACTCAGGCTTGTTCATATTTTCTCACGGCCCATATTAGTGACCTAGACCTTAAGGTAGATTAGTGCCAACCAATCGGCTAGCAGCCTGCTCTCACCACACTACTACTACTACTACTACTACTACTACTACTACTACTACTACTACTACTACTACTACTACTACTACTACTACTACTACTATTACTACTACTACTACTACTGTAACAACAGAAGACAAGGGCCAGGCAACAGATCGTTTTATTATGAAAATCAACACGTATTTATACATCTTTCAACTACATTATTATAGACAAGCGCAGTCATCTGATTGGTTGTTTAGGTAGACAAACGCAGGCTTCTGATTGGTTGTTTCGGGATTCCTTGACAAATAGAGTTCTCTCTGCGAATCATATTCTGCCACGTTAACTTTGCTGTGATTGGTTGTTGACTCAGGCTTGTTCATATTTTCTCACGGCCCATATTAGTGACCTAGACCTTAACGTAGATTAGTGCCAACCAATCGGCTAGCAGCCTGCTCTCACCACACTCGTCCCCCGTCAAATACGTGCGACTGAAGTCGGCTTGATCTACTTGGTGCAGGCGTCATCGTTGGCTTGTCTCGCTGTATCCATTTCTGGAGCTCGCTGACGTTCACGCGCCTCTTATTGTTCGCCATTGCGACTGTGTCTGCGTAACCCCATCTCGAAGTGACCATATATGGTCCTTCCCACTTTGGAAACTGTTTGCCTGACCCTGTCGAACATTCGTCCATACTTCGGCTCACACTTTCATATGCTGCTTTCACCCGACCTCCCAGCAGCGTCCCAAGTAGCAGCTCCATTGCTGACAGATCTTGAACGCCACTCAACTGCGCAGAAGCCTTGAAGTCCTGCCCGAAGATCCATATGCCTCCATCGAAAACAGCAGGGCATAGGCTTTCCATTTGTCGGTAGGCAGCGACACCAAATGTAACAACAGAAGACAAGGGCCAGGCAACAGATCGTTTTATTATGAAAATCAACACGTATTTATACATCTTTCAACTACATTATTATAGACAAGCGCAGTCATCTGATTGGTTGTTTAGGTAGACAAACGCAGGCTTCTGATTGGTTGTTTCGGGATTCCTTGACAAACAGAGTTCTCTCTGCGAATCATATTCTGCCACGTTAACATTGCTGTGATTGGTTGTTGACTCAGGCTTGTTCATATTTTCTCACGGCCCATATTAGTGACCTAGACCTTAACGTAGATTAGTGCCAACAAATCGGCTAGCAGCCTGCTCTCACCACACTACTACTACTACTACTACTACTACTACTACTACTACTACTACTACTACTACTACTATTACTACTACTACTACTACTGTAACAACAGAAGACAAGGGCCAGGCAACAGATCGTTTTATTATGAAAATCAACACGTATTTATACATCTCAACTACATTATTATAGACAAGCGCAGTCATCTGATTGGTTGTTTAGGTAGACAAACGCAGGCTTCTGATTGGTTGTTTCGGGATTCCTTGACAAACAGAGTTCTCTCTGCGAATCATATTCTGCCACGTTAACTTTGCTGTGATTGGTTGTTGACTCAGGCTTGTTCATATTTTCTCACGGCCCATATTAGTGACCTAGACCTTAACGTAGATTAGTGCCAACCAATCGGCTAGCAGCCTGCTCTCACCACACTACTACTACTACTACTACTACTACTACTACTACTACTACTACTACTACTACTACTACTACTACTACTACTACTACTACTACTACTATTACTACTACTACTACTACTGTAACAACAGAAGACAAGGGCCAGGCAACAGATCGTTTTATTATGAAAATCAACACGTATTTATACATCTCAACTACATTATTATAGACAAGCGCAGTCATCTGATTGGTTGTTTAGGTAGACAAACGCAGGCTTCTGATTGGTTGTTTCGGGATTCCTTGACAAACAGAGTTCTCTCTGCGAATCATATTCTGCCACGTTAACTTTGCTGTGATTGGTTGTTGACTCAGGCTTGTTCATATTTTCTCACGGCCCATATTAGTGACCTAGACCTTAACGTAGATTAGTGCCAACCAATCGGCTAGCAGCCTGCTCTCACCACACTACTACTACTACTACTACTACTACTACTACTACTACTACTACTACTACTACTACTACTACTACTACTACTACTACTACTATTACTACTACTACTACTACTGTAACAACAGAAGACAAGGGCCAGGCAACAGATCGTTTTATTATGAAAATCAACACGTATTTATACATCTCAACTACATTATTATAGACAAGCGCAGTCATCTGATTGGTTGTTTAGGTAGACAAACGCAGGCTTCTGATTGGTTGTTTCGGGATTCCTTGACAAACAGAGTTCTCTCTGCGAATCATATTCTGCCACGTTAACTTTGCTGTGATTGGTTGTTGACTCAGGCTTGTTCATATTTTCTCACGGCCCATATTAGTGACCTAGACCTTAACGTAGATTAGTGCCAACCAATCGGCTAGCAGCCTGCTCTCACCACACTACTACTACTACTACTACTACTACTACTACTACTACTACTACTACTACTACTACTACTACTACTACTACTACTACTACTACTACTACTACTACTACTACTACTACTACTACTACTACTACTACTACTACTACTACTACTACTACTACTACTACTACTACTACTACTACTACTACTACTACTACTACTACTACTACTACTACTACTACTACTACTACTACTACTACTACTACTACTACTATTACTACTACTACTACTACTGTAACAACAGAAGACAAGGGCCAGGCAACAGATCGTTTTATTATGAAAATCAACACGTATTTATACATCTCAACTACATTATTATAGACAAGCGCAGTCATCTGATTGGTTGTTTAGGTAGACAAACGCAGGCTTCTGATTGGTTGTTTCGGGATTCCTTGACAAACAGAGTTCTCTCTGCGAATCATATTCTGCCACGTTAACTTTGCTGTGATTGGTTGTTGACTCAGGCTTGTTCATATTTTCTCACGGCCCATATTAATGACCTAGACCTTAACGTAGATTAGTGCCAACCAATCGGCTAGCAGCCTGCTCTCACCACACTACTACTACTACTACTACTACTACTACTACTACTACTACTACTACTACTACTACTACTACTACTACTACTACCACTACTACTACTACTACTACTACTACTACTACTACTACTACTACTACTACTACTACTACTATTACTACTACTACTACTACTGTAACAACAGAAGACAAGGGCCAGGCAACAGATCGTTTTATTATGAAAATCAACACGTATTTATACATCTCAACTACATTATTATAGACAAGCGCAGTCATCTGATTGGTTGTTTAGGTAGACAAACGCAGGCTTCTGATTGGTTGTTTCGGGATTCCTTGACAAACAGAGTTCTCTCTGCGAATCATATTCTGCCACGTTAACTTTGCTGTGATTGGTTGTTGACTCAGGCTTGTTCATATTTTCTCACGGCCCATATTAGTGACCTAGACCTTAACGTAGATTAGTGCCAACCAATCGGCTAGCAGCCTGCTCTCACCACACTCGTCCCCCCGTCAAATACGTGCGACTGAAGTCGGCTTGATCTACTTGGTGCAGGCGTCATCGTTGGCTTGTCTCGCTGTATCCATTTCTGGAGCTCGCTGACGTTCACGCGCCTCTTATTGTTCGCCATTGCGACTGTGTCTGCGTAACCCCATCTCGAAGTGACCATATATGGTCCTTCCCACTTTGGAAACTGTTTGCCTGACCCTGTCGAACATTCGTCCATACTTCGGCTCACACTTTCATATGCTGCTTTCACCCGACCTCCCAGCAGCGTCCCAAGTAGCAGCTCCATTGCTGACAGATCTTGAACGCCACTCAACTGCGCAGAAGCCTTGAAGTCCTGCCCGAAGATCCATATGCCTCCATCGAAAACAGCAGGGCATAGGCTTTCCATTTGTCGGTAGGCAGCGACACCAAATGTAACAACAGAAGACAAGGGCCAGGCAACAGATCGTTTTATTATGAAAATCAACACGTATTTATACATCTCAACTACATTATTATAGACAAGCGCAGTCATCTGATTGGTTGTTTAGGTAGACAAACGCAGGCTTCTGATTGGTTGTTTCGGGATTCCTTGACAAACAGAGTTCTCTCTGCGAATCATATTCTGCCACGTTAACTTTGCTGTGATTGGTTGTTGACTCAGGCTTGTTCATATTTTCTCACGGCCCATATTAATGACCTAGACCTTAACGTAGATTAGTGCCAACCAATCGGCAAGCAGCCTGCTCTCACCACACTACTACTACTACTACTACTACTACTACTACTACTACTACTACTACTACTACTACTACTACTATTACTACTACTACTACTACTGTAACAACAGAAGACAAGGGCCAGGCAACAGATCGTTTTATTATGAAAATCAACACGTATTTATACATCTCAACTACATTATTATAGACAAGCGCAGTCATCTGATTGGTTGTTTAGGTAGACAAACGCAGGCTTCTGATTGGTTGTTTCGGGATTCCTTGACAAACAGAGTTCACTCTGCGAATCATATTCTGCCACGTTAACTTTGCTGTGATTGGTTGTTGACTCAGGCTTGTTCATATTTTCTCACGGCCCATATTAGTGACCTAGACCTTAACGTAGATTAGTGCCAACCAATCGGCTAGCAGCCTGCTCTCACCACACTACTACTACTACTACTACTACTACTACTACTACTACTACTACTACTACTACTATTACTACTATTACTACTATTACTACTCTTACTACTACTACTACTACTACTGTAACAACAGAAGACAAGGGCCAGGCAACAGATCGTTTTATTATGAAAATCAACACGTATTTATACATCTTTCAACTACATTATTATAGACAAGCGCAGTCATCTGATTGGTTGTTTAGGTAGACAAACGCAGGCTTCTGATTGGTTGTTTCGGGATTCCTTGACAAATAGAGTTCTCTCTGCGAATCATATTCTGCCACGTTAACTTTGCTGTGATTGGTTGTTGACTCAGGCTTGTTCATATTTTCTCACGGCCCATATTAGTGACCTAGACCTTAACGTAGATTAGTGCCAACCAATCGGCTAGCAGCCTGCTCTCACCACACTCGTCTCCCCGTCAAATACGTGCGACTAAAGTCGGCTTGATCTACTTGGTGCAGGCGTCATCGTTGGCTTGTCTCGCTGTATCCATTTCTGGAGCTCGCTGACGTTCACGCGCCTCTTATTGTTCGCCATTGCGACTGTGTCTGCGTAACCCCATCTCGAAGTGACCATATATGGTCCTTCCCACTTTGGAAACTGTTTGCCTGACCCTGTCGAACATTCGTCCATACTTCGGCTCACACTTTCATATGCTGCTTTCACCCGACCTCCCAGCAGCGTCCCAAGTAGCAGCTCCATTGCTGACAGATCTTGAACGCCACTCAACTGCGCAGAAGCCTTGAAGTCCTGCCCGAAGATCCATATGCCTCCATCGAAAACAGCAGGGCATAGGCTTTCCATTTGTCGGTAGGCAGCGACACCAAATGTAACAACAGAAGACAAGGGCCAGGCAACAGATCGTTTTATTATGAAAATCAACACGTATTTATACATCTTTCAACTACATTATTATAGACAAGCGCAGTCATCTGATTGGTTGTTTAGGTAGACAAACGCAGGCTTCTGATTGGTTGTTTCGGGATTCCTTGACAAACAGAGTTCTCTCTGCGAATCATATTCTGCCACGTTAACATTGCTGTGATTCGTTGTTGACTCAGGCTTGTTCACGGCCCATATTAGTGACCTAGACCTTAACGTAGATTAGTGCCAACAAATCGGCTAGCAGCCTGCTCTCACCACACTACTACTACTACTACTACTACTACTACTACTACTACTACTACTACTACTACTACTACTACTACTACTACTACTACTACTACTACTACTACTACTACTACTACTACTACTACTACTACTACTACTACTACTACTACTACTACTACTACTACTACTACTACTACTACTACTACTACTATTACTACTACTACTACTAGTGTAACAACAGAAGACAAGGGCCAGGCAACAGATCGTTTTATTATGAAAATCAACACGTATTTATACATCTCAACTACATTATTATAGACAAGCGCAGTCATCTGATTGGTTGTTTAGGTAGACAAACGCAGGCTTCTGATTGGTTGTTTCGGGATTCCTTGACAAACAGAGTTCTCTCTGCGAATCATATTCTGCCACGTTAACTTTGCTGTGATTGGTTGTTGACTCAGGCTTGTTCATATTTTCTCACGGCCCATATTAGTGACCTAGACCTTAACGTAGATTAGTGCCAACCAATCGGCAAGCAGCCTGCTCTCACCACACTACTACTACTACTACTACTACTACTACTACTACTACTACTACTACTACTACTACTACTACTACTACTACTATTACTACTACTACTACTACTACTACTATTACTACTACTACTACTACTGTAACAACAGAAGACAAGGGCCAGGCAACAGATCGTTTTATTATGAAAATCAACACGTATTTATACATCTCAACTACATAATTATAGACAAGCGCAGTCATCTGATTGGTTGTTTAGGTAGACAAACGCAGGCTTCTGATTGGTTGTTTCGGGATTCCTTGACAAACAGAGTTCTCTCTGCGAATCATATTCTGCCACGTTAACTTTGCTGTGATTGGTTGTTGACTCAGGCTTGTTCATATTTTCTCACGGCCCATATTAGTGACCTAGACCTTAACGTAGATTAGTGCCAACCAATCGGCTAGCAGCCTGCTCTCACCACACTATTACTACTACTACTACTACTACTACTACTACTACTACTACTACTACTACTACTACTACTACTACTACTACTACTACTACTACTACTACTACTACTACTACTACTACTACTACTACTACTACTACTACTACTACTACTACTACTACTACTACTACTACTACTACTACTACTACTACTACTACTACTACTACTACTACTACTACTACTACTACTACTACTACTACTACTACTACTACTACTACTACTACTACTACTACTACTACTACTACTACTACTACTACTACTACTACTACTACTACTACTACTACTACTACTACTACTACTACTACTACTACTACTACTACTACTACTACTACTACTACTACTACTACTACTACTACTACTACTACTACTACTACTACTACTACTACTACTACTACTACTACTACTACTACTACTACTACTACTACTACTACTACTACTACTACTACTACTACTACTACTACTACTACTACTACTACTACTACTACTACTACTACTACTACTACTACTACTACTACTACTACTACTACTACTACTACTACTACTACTACTACTACTACTACTACTACTACTACTACTACTACTACTACTACTACTACTACTACTACTACTACTACTACTACTACTACTACTACTACTACTACTACTACTACTACTACTACTACTACTACTACTACTACTACTACTACTACTACTACTACTACTACTACTACTACTACTACTACTACTACTACTACTACTACTACTACTACTACTACTACTACTACTACTACTACTACTACTACTACTACTACTACTACTACTACTACTACTACTACTACTACTACTACTACTACTACTACTACTACTACTACTACTACTACTACTACTACTACTACTACTACTACTACTACTACTACTACTACTACTACTACTACTACTACTACTACTACTACTACTACTACTACTACTACTACTACTACTACTACTACTACTACTACTACTACTACTACTACTACTACTACTACTACTACTACTACTACTACTACTACTACTACTACTACTACTACTACTACTACTACTACTACTACTACTACTACTACTACTACTACTACTACTACTACTACTACTACTACTACTACTACTACTACTACTACTACTACTACTACTACTACTACTACTACTACTACTACTACTACTACTACTACTACTACTACTACTACTACTACTACTACTACTACTACTACTACTACTACTACTACTACTACTACTACTACTACTACTACTACTACTACTACTACTACTACTACTACTACTACTACTACTACTACTACTACTACTACTACTACTACTACTACTACTACTACTACTACTACTACTACTACTACTACTACTACTACTACTACTACTACTACTACTACTACTACTACTACTACTACTACTACTACTACTACTACTACTACTACTACTACTACTACTACTACTACTACTACTACTACTACTACTACTACTACTACTACTACTACTACTACTACTACTACTACTACTACTACTACTACTACTACTACTACTACTACTACTACTACTACTACTACTACTACTACTACTACTACTACTACTACTACTACTACTACTACTACTACTACTACTACTACTACTACTACTACTACTACTACTACTACTACTACTACTACTACTACTACTACTACTACTACTACTACTACTACTACTACTACTACTACTACTACTACTACTACTACTACTACTACTACTACTACTACTACTACTACTACTACTACTACTACTACTACTACTACTACTACTACTACTACTACTACTACTACTACTACTACTACTACTACTACTACTACTACTACTACTACTACTACTACTACTACTACTACTACTACTACTACTACTACTACTACTACTACTACTACTACTACTACTACTACTACTACTACTACTACTACTACTACTACTACTACTACTACTACTACTACTACTACTACTACTACTACTACTACTACTACTACTACTACTACTACTACTACTACTACTACTACTACTACTACTACTACTACTACTACTACTACTACTACTACTACTACTACTACTACTACTACTACTACTACTACTACTACTACTACTACTACTACTACTACTACTACTACTACTACTACTACTACTACTACTACTACTACTACTACTACTACTACTACTACTACTACTACTACTACTACTACTACTACTACTACTACTACTACTACTACTACTACTACTACTACTACTACTACTACTACTACTACTACTACTACTACTACTACTACTACTACTACTACTACTACTACTACTACTACTACTACTACTATTACTACTACTACTACTACTGTAACAACAGAAGACAAGGGCCAGGCAACAGATCGTTTTATTATGAAAATCAACACGTATTTATACATCTTTCAACTACATTATTATAGACAAGCGCAGTCATCTGATTGGTTGTTTAGGTAGACAAACGCAGGCTTCTGATTGGTTGTTTCGGGATTCCTTGACAAACAGAGTTCTCTCTGCGAATCATATTCTGCCACGTTAACTTTGCTGTGATTGGTTGTTGACTCAGGCTTGTTCACGGCCCATATTAGTGACCTAGACCTTAACGTAGATTAGTGCCAACCAATCGGCTAGCAGCCTGCTCTCACCACACTCGTCCCCCCGTCAAATACGTGCGACTGAAGTCGGCTTGATCTACTTGGTGCAGGCGTCATCGTTGGCTTGTCTCGCTGTATCCATTTCTGGAGCTCGCTGACGTTCACGCGCCTCTTATTGTTCGCCATTGCGACTGTGTCTGCGTAACCCCATCTCGAAGTGACCATATATGGTCCTTCCCACTTTGGAAACTGTTTGCCTGACCCTGTCGAACATTCGTCCATACTTCGGCTCACACTTTCATATGCTGCTTTCACCCGACCTCCCAGCAGCGTCCCAAGTAGCAGCTCCATTGCTGACAGATCTTGAACGCCACTCAACTGCGCAGAAGCCTTGAAGTCCTGCCCGAAGATCCATATGTCTCCATCGAAAACAGCAGGGCATAGGCTTTCCATTTGTCGGTAGGCAGCGACACCAAATGTAACAACAGAAGACAAGGGCCAGGCAACAGATCGTTTTATTATGAAAATCAACACGTATTTATACATCTTTCAACTACATTATTATAGACAAGCGCAGTCATCTGATTGGTTGTTTAGGTAGACAAACGCAGGCTTCTGATTGGTTGTTTCGGGATTCCTTGACAAACAGAGTTCTCTCTGCGAATCATATTCTGCCACGTTAACTTTGCTGTGATTGGTTGTTGACTCAGGCTTGTTCACGGCCCATATTAGTGACCTAGACCTTAACGTAGATTAGTGCCAACCAATCGGCTAGCAGCCTGCTCTCACCACACTACTACTACTACTACTACTACTACTACTACTACTACTACTACTACTACTACTACTACTACTACTACTACTACTACTACTACTACTACTACTACTACTACTACTACTACTACTACTACTACTACTACTACTACTACTACTACTACTACTACTACTACTACTACTATTACTACTACTACTACTACTGTAACAACAGAAGACAAGGGCCAGGCAACAGATCGTTTTATTATGAAAATCAACACGTATTTATACATCTTTCAACTACATTATTATAGACAAGCGCAGTCATCTGATTGGTTGTTTAGGTAGACAAACGCAGGCTTCTGATTGGTTGTTTCGGGATTCCTTGACAAACAGAGTTCTCTCTGCGAATCATATTCTGCCACGTTAACTTTGCTGTGATTGGTTGTTGACTCAGGCTTGTTCATATTTTCTCACGGCCCATATTAGTGACCTAGACCTTAACGTAGATTAGTGCCAACCAATCGGCTAGCAGCCTGCTCTCACCACACTCGTCCCCCCGTCAAATACGTGCGACTGAAGTCGGCTTGATCTACTTGGTGCAGGCGTCATCGTTGGCTTGTCTCGCTGTATCCATTTCTGGAGCTCGCTGACGTTCACGCGCCTCTTATTGTTCGCCATTGCGACTGTGTCTGCGTAACCCCATCTCGAAGTGACCATATATGGTCCTTCCCACTTTGGAAACTGTTTGCCTGACCCTGTCGAACATTCGTCCATACTTCGGCTCACACTTTCATATGCTGCTTTCACCCGACCTCCCAGCAGCGTCCCAAGTAGCAGCTCCATTGCTGACAGATCTTGAACGCCACTCAACTGCGCAGAAGCCTTGAAGTCCTGCCCGAAGATGCATATGTCTCCATCGAAAACAGCAGGGCATAGGCTTTCCATTTGTCGGTAGGCAGCGACACCAAATGTAACAACAGAAGACAAGGGCCAGGCAACAGATCGTTTTATTATGAAAATCAACACGTATTTATACATCTTTCAACTACATTATTATAGACAAGCGCAGTCATCTGATTGGTTGTTTAGGTAGACAAACGCAGGCTTCTGATTGGTTGTTTCGGGATTCCTTGACAAACAGAGTTCTCTCTGCGAATCATATTCTGCCACGTTAACTTTGCTGTGATTGGTTGTTGACTCAGGCTTGTTCATATTTTCTCACGGCCCATATTAGTGACCTAGACCTTAACGTAGATTAGTGCCAACCAATCGGCTAGCAGCCTGCTCTCACCACACTACTACTACTACTACTACTACTACTACTACTACTACTACTACTACTACTACTACTACTACTACTACTACTACTACTACTACTACTACTACTACTACTACTACTACTACTACTACTACTACTACTACTACTACTACTACTACTACTACTACTACTACTACTACTACTACTACTACTACTACTACTACTACTACTACTACTACTACTACTACTACTACTACTACTACTACTACTGTAACAACAGAAGACAAAGGCCAGGCAACAGATCGTTTTATTATGAAAATCAACACGTATTTATACATATTTCAACAACATTATTATAGACAAGCGCAGTCATCTGATTGGTTGTTTCGGGATTCCTTGACAAATAGAGTTCTCTCTGCGAATCATATTTTGCCACGTTAACTTTGCTGTGATTGGTTGTTGACTCAGGCTTGTTCACGGCCCATATTAGTGACCTAGACCTTAACGTAGATTAGTGCCAACCAATCGGCTAGCAGCCTGCTCTCACCACACTCGTCCCCCCGTCAAATACGTGCGACTGAAGTCGGCTTGATCTACTTGGTGCAGGCGTCATCGTTGGCTTGTCTCGCTGTATCCATTTCTGGAGCTCGCTGACGTTCACGCGCCTTTCATTGTTCGCCATTGCGACTGTGTCTGCGTAACCCCATCTCGAAGTGACCATATATGGTCCTTCCCACTTTGGAAACTGTTTGCCTGACCCTGTCGAACATTCGTCCATACTTCGGCTCACACTTTCATATGCTGCTTTCACCCGACCTCCCAGCAGCGTCCCAAGTAGCAGCTCCATCGCTGACAGATCTTGAACGCCACTCGACTGCGCAGAAGCCTTGAAGTCCTGCCCGAAGATCCATATGTCTCCATCAAAAACAGCAGGGCATAGGCTTTCCATTTGTCGGTAGGCAGCGACACCAAATGTAACAACAGAAGACAAGGGCCAGGCAACAGATCGTTTTATTATGAAAATCAACACGTATTTATACATATTTCAACAACATTATTATAGACAAGCGCAGTCATCTGATTGGTTGTTTCGGGATTCCTTGACAAATAGAGTTCTCTCTGCGAATCATATTTTGCCACGTTAACTTTGCTGTGATTGGTTGTTGACTCAGGCTTGTTCACGGCCCATATTAGTGACCTAGACCTTAACGTAGATTAGTGCCAACCAATCGGCAAGCAGCCTGCTCTCACCACACTACTACTACTACTACTACTACTACTAC